TAACCTCCTTGGTTTTAGAAAGCTTTAGCGAGCGTTGGGCCGCTGTGCCATGAATACAGTGAACTAGTATATACCATGAACTCGAGGTGGTTAAAGGTGGGAAGTGGACACGAAGCGCAAACCGTAAGAAAGTGTGCGTGTGCCACCTCTCGTTTAGTCCTTGGAATGTCTGCTGGATGACGGTGCTTCTATATGGGTAATATATGATAAAATGATGCGAGATGGCGGTACTTGGAGTGTGGAATAGGTGGACGAATGGACACTCAGACAGATGCATGGATGGATGCATGAACAGGCGCAACGGCGCATGCATGAACGAACGCAGGGACGGACGCACGAACAGACGCACGCACGGACGGGCGGTTGGATGCATGGACGGTCACACAGATGGACGCAAGAACGAATGAATGGACGAATGCTTCGCCCCACTCTCCATCATTCACTCCGCGGACATGCTGCCAACTTTTTCTAGGTGGCGTTGGCTCAGCACGAGACCTAGGGAGGCACACATGCCACCGCCAGCCGTGGCCGCTCACTGCTAGACCAGCTCTACTGCGCAACACGTGGAGATGGTGGATGCATGTCCAAGGGGCGGATGCATGGACGAACCCAGGGGCGCACACACGAACAGACGCACGCACGGACGGGGGGATGGACAAATGGACGGTCACACAGACGGACGCATGGACGGACGGAAGCAAGAACGAATGGACGGACGGATGCTTTGCCCCACTCTCCATCATTCATTCCGTGGATATCCTGTCAATTTTTTTTCTTTAGCGGGCTGGCTGCCACTAGCGCTACGCTACAAGGGTTCACCTAGCGTGCTAGGCGATAAAAAAAGAACGTAAAAATGTACAAACACATACAAACAATGCGTACATGCGCGACAGTTCCTAATGTGCCTACTGTGAAGTGCAAGTGTGGTCAGGCTGGAAGGCGTACGAAGGAGTCCGACAGTTCCGGTGGGCGACACTGGGACCCCCGCAGCAGGCGAGGACCACGATGATTGCACGTCGTTAGGAGCAGCGAGCAAGGCAGAGAGGAGTGCTGGAAACGTTGGTGGTGGAAGTTCTGTGAACGCCATGGTTTACGTAGCGCCAACGGTCGTGCATTGCAGCTTCTTGAGCACCAACAACAGTGCGTTTGTCTACAACGCGATGTGTGTTGTAGACGGAGCACGAGTCGTGAGCTGTTTGTAGACGTGATGCTGCCTCTCTCGACTCGATGACAAGCCAACGGCAGTAGTGAGTGTGTTCTCGGTGTGGTGCGTCCGCTGCACGATACTATATTTTGTGACACCACAGTAAGGAATGGCTGTTCACGGCGCTGGATAGCGTCGGTGATAAGGGTCGGCAACAGAACGCGGGGATTGGCTGCTCAGAAAAATTAGAGAAAATTGACGCAAGCATATCTTGAAAGAAAAATGGCTCGCTCTTCAGGCGTTGAAAGAAAAGTCGTGATCCGCCTGGCAGTCTACTAGCGTTTGAGCAGCAGGCACCGGTGTGTCGCGGAAACTGATGGCATGCAGTGTCACAGCGGGCTCTGTGTCCATGGTGTGATGTGCTGTCTCTGGTCATAACAGGTTCATGGACAGGCGTGGATTCTGCAGGCAGGTCAGCGGTCCAGCTGAGGTCGTCGAATCGATCGGTGCACAGAGCGCAGCCCACAAGGTCTCTGCAGTGAATCCGACGGCGCTCGAGGCAGTGGCCGGTGTCGAGTCTGTGGCGGAGAGAAGTGGCAATGCCTTTGTTGGCAGAAACGGCACATAGGAGGCAGGATCTGTGAACTCCGGTGTTGTGGGTCTCTCAGTCAGCGGCTTGGTCCAAACGTGAGGATAGTATCCATCACCTATGCAGCTGGCAGCTGGCAAGACAATGGTCTCATGTGGCAATTGGTCGAGTGGTCCGGAGTAACGGGAGGCGTCCTTGAAGGTGATGGGCCAGGTGCCGCGGTGCTGCCCTTAAAGAAAGACCACGTTTGAAGCCGTAAACCTTGAGCATGGCTTCACGAAGATTATCGTATGGACAAGGGCTCCAGGAGAAGTATGTGAGGCAGAGTTTGAGGTCATAAGAAAGATGATATTCAGATACCTCGTACATGAACCCTTGGATCCAGATGCCGTTGCGATCCAGCGCCGCCGCAAACTCCTTGAACCATGATTATAGGTGAGATGTCCGGAATTGTGGCAGTGGCGGGTCGAATTGCGGCTGCCAGGCTTGCGCAGCTTGGAACATGGCCGCGGAGTTCGGTGGCAGTTGTGCAGTGCCGATCGCTTGTACATGTGTCCGTGGTCACCAATTTGTAGCTACGGGACGGCGTCCGACATAGACATGCCGTCGTCGCTAGTGTAATGAAAGAGCGAGACGTACAGTAAGCTAACTGTCAAAGTAGAGCAGTGGCCAAGTCGTCCAGCCAGCCAGAAGCAAACGAAAATTCCTGGCGCCACACGCTGCGAGCCACCGGCGCTTGTCATCTTTTTTTTCTAGCTGGTTGGCCGCCACTAGCGCTACGCTCGAATTTCCTTAATCCCGTTTTGTTTCCTGCTCTATACTTGCCTTTTAAGGTCACACCTGTCATTTTCCTTTCCATCGCTCGCTGCGTCGCCCTCAATTTAAGCTTTACCCTCTTTGTAAGCCTCCAGGTTTCCGCTACGCAGGTAAGTACTGGCAATATGCAGCTGTTATATACCTTCCTCTTGATATACCTTCCTCTTGACGTTTCGTGCGTCATTTGTGCGTGTGAAACGTGGAGAACGTTTTGGTCAGCTTGCTATTCTGCGCGTGAAATTAGAATTTGTGGCTATCGTGTTTATTGCTTCGCCTTTGTAGAAAACCTGCCACTTTTTTTACCAGCCTCCAAATTATACTTACTAAAAACTACGTAGAAGTGCTGTAAGAAGTTTTTCCGCCTGCCGAGCTGCTGAATATCATTCGTGAGAGTCGCAAAAAAAAGCCAGTGTTTTCGAAAAATTAATTGCTTCGCAAGAGTATCACTGCACACCACCATTTCTAGCTCGTCGAAAAAGTACTTCGTAAATAGCAATTCGTATTCGAAAAAAATCACAGCATATTCACGGAGCGAATTATGATAAGTGGGTGAAGCTCCGAAGGCGCAGTAGTAAACCGCGAAGCCTCCGTGAATTTCGCTTAGTCCGCTCGTCGTGAAAAGGCGTGACGAACACTTCGCGCGCGTTTCACCACCGCTTTGTGGGCTCCCAGCTCAGGATCCTTTAGCCGGCTCCTCCGTGCCACTTCTGCTTCGCTGGCTCTCACTCCTGATCTGACGGCGTGCACACGCGGCAGCCACTTTCCGAGCCCTCCGCTGAAGCATAGACTGCCACAGAAATTGGCGAGAGATGGAGGTTCAGGAAAGGAAAAGACGCCGCTTCTGCTGCCCTAATTGGGAGAAATGCTCAGTGCCTCTAGGGAGGGGGGGGGAAGAGGGCATTAAAGTTGTGAAGAAGAGAGAAGGAGAGAAATGGCGTCCTTGACCAAAGACGCGGCTGATGGCTTCTATAGCCAGTTGCCTAGTCCAGTGTCCTGAAGAAAGTGAAAAATCGCCTTGAAGACCTGGGTGAGGGGCCGTGCAGGAAAAAGAAGGTCCTACTGTGTAGCCGCGATCAGACCGTGGCGATTGAGTGCGGCGGGCAAGACGCCGCGCTGTGTGCGAAGCGATGGGCAAACACACAACAGGTGCTCAATGGTTTCATCTGCCCCACACGCAGTGCACGCAAGGGACGACGCTCTCCCAAGCCGATGACGCCGGGCCGCTGACCAGGAGCAGCCGATGCGTAAGGGAAGTAGCAGGGACTTCTCCCTCCTGGTGAAACACCGGTCAGGCAGCTGAATTTGTGGTTCTATCCTTGCTACAGGAACGTCTAGGTAGCAGCATAGGAACAGCCTTCCCAATGTGAGCCTCGAAAAGTCTGAGGCGACTACGGCACGGCACACAGGAATGGCGGAGTCATGTGCTGCTTTCGCCAGGGCGTCAGCCTGCTAGTTTCCCTGAATTCGCACATGAGATGGGACCCAGTGCAGAGAAACATTGACGCCACTGGTAAGGGCAGTTTGAGTCACGAACACCTGCGTTGTGAAGCCTGCCCGTTCCGGCTTTGCCAAGGCCAGCAACGCCACTCTTGAGTAGCACGTGACAGTCACGGGGCACGTTGGAGGGTTCGCTGCTAGGAGGTCAACTGCCAGGTGGAGACCGGTCGTTTCTGCAACGGTAGAGCAGGCCACAAAAGGCAGACGGCAGAAGGCCGTCCAACCAAGTGCTGGCATAATGCAGGAAGCTGTGGCCGAGCCAGTGTCGGACATGACGGAGCCGTCCGTGTACGCAATAAGCCTTCCAGCCCGTTCTTTCTATATCTTGGAGGCAGATGTCTGCTTCAGTGCGCGAATGGGTGAGCGACGCTTGGAGAGCCCTCCCAGAGCATTGTTGATAGCCCGTAGTTTCTCTGTGGGGGGGGGGAAGGGGCCCGGTGGAATCACCAGTCCCACAGCTACTTGATAGATCTGCAGCAGCTCGCCTACCCGAGATCCTTGTCGACCTTGCAGCCGGGCAAGCAGGCGCCACCCATCAGGTGCATGGGCTAGCGATCAATGTGTAGAGGCCCACGTTGATTTAGGAACAGGGAGAGAGGCTAGACACCTGCCTCTAGCTGCCACTGCCGAGGTGGCTGTGACTTGAGAGGACCACGGTAGGCTGGGTACACAGCGAATGAAGCCCCTACGCAGTAAGTTGAGGTGCTCAAAAAGCCACCGAGAAAGTGCTACCACGGGAAACGCGTACAGCAGCCGCTATGTTGCTGCGGCTGTGTAAAGGCGAGGAGCCCAGGATGGTGAGCATCCGCGGCCATTGAGCGAGTTGCCCTTCACTGCCTTCTGGGTTCTCTTCATCATGCATATGGCTTCCTTGACTGTGGGGGCCCAGGACAGCCGATGGTCGATGCCAAGGCCGAGATAGGTCACCACACTCTCCCATGGTATTGTGGTGCCCTAGGTGGTTAGACGGGCCACTCTGCTGCGTGTTGCAGGTCTGCGGTGCACAAAAAGTGCCTTCGTTGTAGCCGGAGCAACAGCCAGACCAACAGATGTGACATGGTCGACTATAGCATTTAGTGCACTCTGCAGGCAAGATCGGACAGTTCGCAGATTCCTGGTAGTTCCCCAGTTCCACAACGCGACGTGGTCAGAGTATATGGAACAGTGTACGGGGTAGCGCTGGCCGGAAGGAATGACAGCTGGCAGGCGTGCCGATGGGATGTTGAATAGGAAGGGGCTCAGTACAGAACCCTGTGGCACCTCTGTCGATACCGGCTGTGAAGAGCGGAGCGCGTGGCCAACTCTGACGCGGAAAAATCGGCCCGACAGAAAACCCTGCACAAAGCAGAGCATGCGGCCGTGCACGCCCTGGGCTGTTAGTGCCTGCATGACTTGCAGGTCCGACAGGCGTTCAAGGACATTTTGCACGTCCAAAAGCACTAAAACGGCCACCTCTTTCATGCTTCTTGCATGCTCCAGTGCCGAGACGACGTTACTAAACTAGTCTGTTGTGCAGCGGTGGCGCCGGAATCCAGTCTGCTGCTCGAGAAAGTAGTGCAGGGTCCTAGCAATCCACTCGAGGTGGGCCAAGACAATTGCTTCTATCACCTTGCAGGCGGCTGAGGTAACCAGAGAAAGAGGAAGCACGCCAACAGCGAACGCACTAGAGTGCCTGAATGTCCTCCTCACCTGCCTCTCCGCAGAGAAGGGTAGACAACTTCGCCGTCTGCTACGGCGTGCACCATTGTCACGCCAACTCCGATGTGGGGGCTCATTGCAGCGCGTATGTGAGCTGTTTGGAGGTGGTACGAAGGCTTTGCGTGGACTATAATACTGCGGAAACGCATCAATGCGTGATCATGGTTTGATAAATATTTTTAGAACTTTCAGTCTAACAACACAAGGAAAAATACGCCGCTTCACGGGATCGTATGCTGTTGCCTGACATTACTTTTAACCGCCCCGCCACCGCTTGTTGCCGTGATAGTTCATTTACTTTAAAAATAAAACGGCGTGATTTGACACCGGTTGATCTTTCTCTTCAGGATGTTTACATATACTTCATCGACGCCCTGATTCCGCATTGTCTGCATGACGGCTGATATTTCTATTGAATCAAACGCCTTCTCGTAATCTATGAAGAATATGTATAGTGGTTGGTTATATTCTGAGCATTTCTCTATTACCTGGTTGATAGTATGAATGTGGTCGATTGTTGAACAGCCTGTTTAAATCTACAGGGGATCAACTGCTACCATAGTGCTTCATAAAGAAAGCAATAGAATACCAATCAAGATGGGTGTAAGGCAGGGGGACACCATCACCCCAATGCTATTTACCGCGTGCTTACAGGAGGTTTTCTGAAGCCTAGAATGGGAACAGTTAGGGATAAGAGTTAATATAGAGTACCTTAGTAACCTGCGCTTCGCCGATAACATTGCATTGCTGAGTAACTGAGGGGACGAATTGCAACTCATGATTACGGAGATTACAACAACCTCGGAAAAGAGCAGAGCTTTGAGATAGGTAATAGTGCGCTTCAAGTTGTAAATGACTATGTCTACTTAGGGCAGGTAATAGCCGCGGAGCCGAACCACGAGATTGAAGTAACTAGAAGAATAAGAATGGGGTGGAGCACATTTGGCAAGCTCTCTCAAATTATGACGAGCAGATTGCCACTATCCCTCAAGAGGAAGGTATACAACAGTTGTATCTTGCCGGTACTTAGCTACGGAGCAGAAACCGGGAGACTTACAAAGAGAGTTCAGCTTAAATTGAGGACGACGCAGCGAGCAATGGAAAGAAAAATGGTAGGTGTAACCTTAAGAGACAAGAAGAGAGCAGAGTGAATTAGGAAACAAACGGGGGTTAAGGATATCATAGCTGAAATCAAGAAGAAGAAATGGACATGGGCCTGGAATGTAGCGCGTAGACAGGATAACTGCTGGTCGTTAAGGGTAACTAACTGGATTCCAAGAGAATGCAAGCGGGTTAGGGGGAGACAGAAGGTTAGGTGGGCAGATGAGATTAAGAAGTTTGCGGGTATAAATTGGCAGCAGCAAGCACAGGACCGGGTTAACTGGCGGAACACGGGAGAGGCCTTTGTCCTGCAGTGGACGTAGTCAGGCTGATGATAATGATGATGATGATGATGATGATGATGATGATGATGATCTTTCTCTGTGGATGTGAAATGACGCATTGCTCAGTACATGATGTTGATTCATTTGTAACTGGAGGTAGAACCACCATAACACTTGGCATTTCCGCTCCTCAGGAAGGTTTACGCGCAGAAGCTGTGTGGTTTCAATACAGTCGTTATGTATCAATTATGATAAAATTACTTGAAGATATGTCGACAGTAAAGGCAACCGATTGATACACGGCCAATAAGTAGGTACGTGATTGTTGTCAGTTGATTTTGTTCCAATTTCACACTTTTGTTATCTACCGTCATTCAATAGTTACACGTATTTGGCAAAACTCCTGAGACAAAAGATAAAAATGTACCAAAATGACAGTGTGATACATTTCAAAACTCCAAATATCAATATCTCTCGGCTGTTTCACTTGACAAGAGAAAAAAAAACACGAGAAGAGAATAAAATGAAATGTCTGATTTGTGCCTAATAAACCAACAGATAATTTTAATGTTCACTGCAGGCTAACTCCTGCACATGTCTTGCTTACATGCCTGTGATTTCCTTTCGCTGCGGCTTGAGGCAGGTGCACCCACAGCCTCAGCCTCACGTAGGTTGAAATTGGCAGTTTTTCTACAGCTTTTTTGTGTTGCTGACAACATCCTTCCAACTTTGTTTTCGGAACCTTGTTTAGGTATGCTGTCACAGCCTTTAAAGGTGATTTCATAGAAAATGCGCTCTCAGTACAGCTGGTAATATCATTGAATTGTTCCTTCCAAGACTTGAGCTCAAGCATGACTGCATCGCTTGGGTAGTAGATATTGCTCCCTTCAAGGACGTATTCTCTAAGGGATGTCAAGCCTGCATGTTCGCTGCTGCTTGAACCCAACAATGCACGCTTGCATTCCCTACATTGGGCGATAGATTGAAATATTTTGTTTCATGAAAAATCCACCAATGTAGAATTTAATTCGACACTCGACACATGTAGTTATTCAATGAACGGGATTCGCGCTTTGTCAATAGCCTAAATCTCTGTTTCAGCTTGTTCTTTCATGCCTGTTGACAACAAGACCAAGCACTTCGCGTCGTCAACGTCATAGCTGGTCGTTCGCGGTGTGTGCAGAAACTGGCTCACAAAAAGCAGTTTCAAAGCATTAATCAAGTCAGAGGCGCTTGGGACTGACTTCCAAAGACGTACCACAGAAAACAGGTTCTCAAGACAGTCCTGAAGCAAGCTGTTTGAGAGAAAATATTTGTAACCTTCACTTCTTAGGAGGACATCCTGCAGACGATTGACTACAGTTGTGGCTTTCCCGAAGCCTGCTTGTGAAGGCTCCCAGTTGAACGTGCTGCCCATACACATTCCTTGAATGATCTGAGTCGCAAAGTGCAGTGTGTCAATAGCCTCAAGATATTCTCTATGTGTTTGAGTCTCAAGGATACAGATGGATGTCGTGAAGACATGAGTGTGTACCACTTGAGACAAGTTCCAGAAAACATGCTGTAGTTTCAGCCTCCTGCTCCAAGATCTTTTGTCATAATAAATATCTAATGGCGGCCGGTGCCTCTCAAAAAACTGAACAGCGACCCCCACTTTCATCTTAGTGAGATTCCCGTTAGACACGTGGATCTCTGAGAGCTTCTGTGCTACTTTCAGTTTCCGATCCGTGTCATAATCTACCACAGCTCGCACGTGCTTGAGTTTGACCTCTTTAGAACTTAGATTAAGTTGGCACACGCATGCATCACTGCTAATAAAAACTGCACAATTTAAAGGTTGGTTTTTTAAGTTCTTAAAAACGTGAGCAGCATCTGCACTGAAGAGGAGTTCCTTGTCTGCAAGGACGAGGTGTGGTAATGAGCATATGGTGTTGGAGTGTCTGTGGCTAGAGAAGCCTAATTCTTGACACATCGCTCTATGAGAAGCTCCCATGTCGGAGGTGACCACGCGGATCCTCAGAAAAGTATCCGTGCAAAGTCGCACACACTTTAACACGTGCTCTTTTAGTCTACAGACGTCTACGTGGCATCCAGTAGAGTGGTAAGCGACCACTTGTTTCCAACACTGGTTCAAAACCGCTACCATGAATACCAGTGCATTATGAGCCAGTTCACCTGGCTTCACAGGCAAAGTTTTCGCACCAAGCACGACATCTTCAAAGTGGCCGAGCTCATAGCTCAGGGCAATTTCCATTTCATCTTGAAACGGCACACAGTCCTTTTCTATGTGCTCAATGCCTCCTGCTTTCATTTTGAGCAGATCGTCCACTTACTTCAGTATTCCTGGCATGAAACTTAGTCCTTGGAGGTGCCACGCCAAAGTTGTGTTTGCCGGCAGAGGGTACCCATATTTTTTATATTTTCGTCGGCAGTCGTTTCGCATGAAATTGTAATAAAAAATAGATCCGCTTCGTCCGCTACCAGTTCAATTGCACTGGATTCCCGTGAACTGTGTTGCTGTTTGTGAGGCAACTCACAGCTTTGCTCCAACGACATCGCGTCTATCGCCATTGCTTTGTCACCTGCCACAATGCATTAATCTTCAGGTTGGTGTGAGAGTGTAACACGTCTGGTCCTTCCCTTTGGTGCCTTCCTGTGGCAAGGCAAAGCTGCGAAACAAAAGGAACCCATCAAACTACGTCCCGTTGGCACTATTAGGCTACAAGTGAATTCCATGCTTTACTACTTCTCTCACGATGTTGTGTGAATCTCTACACATCTATTACATTTACCGTGTATTTAAACAATGGAAAGAGGTAGCAGTAAGATTCACTGTTATTACAGCGTAGTTGCTGCTATCTCGTTACTCTGTTTGCATAAAGACTCGTAAACATTGCCTTTTTTATTAAGACATAGAATTGCCCTTAATGCATAATATTTTGTGTGTATATGCATAATAAATGTGCGCCGTCCAGGACGATGTAATGTATGAGGTGAAGCAGTGTCTTGTGGAATCTGTTGTCATGCATCCAGCGGTCATAGCTTTACGCTCGTATGGACAGCGCGGGCATAATAATTCTGCTACATTTGCACATGAACGATATTTGTGAAGTTTGATTCTACTATCCTATTATACGGCGAACCGTCAAAAAAAATGTGACTTACACTCGTTTTTGGTACTGCCACACGTGCTCTTATTTCTATGTCAGCTCACTAACAAGCAAATACAATATTTGAGCTGCCACATAATAAAGAAATACAAGCAAGATGCGTATGCGTCAACACCGTATAGCTGGGCAAAATAATCAATATAACTTTCAGGATGCTGAGAAATGACATAAGAGCTTACGTCTGAAGGGAAACACTGTCGGCACAGCA